AAGTCCCAGACGACAGCCAAATTAATCTGGTGCAAATATATAAAGGGAGTCTGCTCCAGGGCCCAGTTGTCTTCTGCGGGCGGTCATAATTTGGTACAAGATCAGGAACGTTGGAAATATTCTCTGAGACATCTGCCTCCGTGTACCGAAAGGAGAAGGGATCATGAACATAAAGATGAAAAAGAAGAAGATGAATGACTCCTCCAAGACCACATTCGATCGTAAGAGCGCGAGGTGGCTCCAGCAGTCAAAACGATGAGAGATGCAGTCGGCACTGCAATTGCTAAAATGCCACGGATTCGTGACCAGCTTAACTGCCACCTCCTCCCCAGGAAATTAGGAGCAAGGAAGCGGTGTTGAACGATGTGAAATCTAGTCGTGAAGGATTCTTTCGTTATTATTCCACTCTTAGTATAACTGATTACTCATATGATATAAAGTAATACAGAAATAAATAGACAACAGTAGAATCTTTTACCAATACTTTGATTTTGTGAATTAATGAATCAAAAAGTAGCGAAGCCACACACAGCAAGTAGCAAATACATGATAAAGATAGCGTTTGACTATCAACAGCCTTATTTTTAACTGAAAATCCTTAAATGTAAAATCAATGCTGTACTTGGATAAATAACTTTGAAACAATTTCCCAAAATTCCTTCAAACGATTCAAGTTCACCAGCGATATATCCATTAACTGTGCGACCGTAAAGTAAGAAACTTCTTTATTTTCTGCTGAAGAACGAATCAGCTGATCAGTCAAGTCTTGCAATGATGTCAATATGTCAATCAGAACCTCTCGATCAAATGAACTAAAAAAAATATAGCATAACTAAGAGATATTTGCCAACGCATTTTACAATTCAGCAACCGTTGGCGGAAATACTGGATATTTATGTCGAGACATAAGGAAAAAAATAAATAAAGTAAAAATATGCCCCTTGAACCCTTTGACTTGCACAGTAATTCTCTACTTTAATGTTGAGAACTGCAGTTGGTTGTAAATAAAATTTTAAAGAATTAAACAACTCATTTGAGTCAAAAAGCTCTACATTAATGTGATACTAGGAGCATGTATCTTGCCGAAACTACAACCCCGGGATACGTGCTCGAACGCAATTTTGTTTCACAAAACTCAATAATGCGGCACGGACTGCATATGATTGTGTCACTGCGTCCATGCAGTCGAGGCCCCCTTAAATGGTCGCTTTAAGCATCCAGAAAGAATGGAGCAATCCGACGTTGTCGCATAACGTGAGTTAATTACTTGTGCATTCCTCCTCTATAGCAGTTAATGCAAAGCAAGTTAATAACGTGGTCAGCAAAGTAATAAACATTAATGACGATCATACGAATGTCATACGCGGTTTGCAGAATCAAATTCTTCATAGCGTCGACGATGCAAGACACGTTGCCAACGACGTTCATAACGGTAGTGGTGCTGGGAGCTGGTGTCGAAACGAAGTTTATAACGAGACTGTCTGAAACGACGGGACGAATGTTGAGCAAACGAAAAAAATCCTATTGAAATCATTATATTAAAGAACGGAAACGGCAGTCAATGTTTGAACCTTGCCTTTAAGACCGAATAGACAATGACCCAACATTTACGAAACCAGAAGCCGGTGGACAGCGACACGCAGATTAATGCTCGGAAGGCCTGTACATTTTTAACGGTTAACTATAATAAAAGAATATGACGTAAGCGAAGTCAATGACGGTCACCGCTTTGCACTCTTACTGCAACTGAGGAGGCTACAGGTCGCTTTGATTCTAGCGAATTCACGGCATCCTTGCTGATTTCACGTAAATGCATCTGAGCACTGTGACTAGAGCCTATTGTGAAAAAAATACTTTTGAACCAAAAAAGCACAGTATTACCAAAAAATGTACATATGCATTGTATAAAAGAAAGCGAAGAGAATTCACATATGTATGTATAAAAGCACTTGACAAAAAAAATTAAATTATCCTACCCTTGATTGAAACACCAACACGTTCAGGAAGTAAAGAATTGCACAGAACGGATAACATTGGTTCTCGAGCCTCTTCCACCTGCGCTTTACAGGCCAGTGCAATGAGCGTCGCGAGTTGTTGCAATATTGATTCGGTCATGCCTTCGTCGATGCAGGCAGCCAATAACATAGAGACGGAGGACAGCAACGGTTTCCACGATAGCGATATTAGGTTATGCGGAATTTCTATGCGTAGAATAAGTTCGTTAGAAAAAAGCATTCACCTGTTACGCTTTGAACATCACCAACTAGCTATCACAAAGCGAAAACAAAAATATACTTAAACATAATTACGGTAACATGCATCTATTCATTTTACTACCCTTTTATTCCTGGGTTGTTGGGATAAGCAGCTTTAAGAGACTTTGTTTCAGCGGCTTCTATCTTCCATTAATTGAACAAGTTACCCGGGTTGGATAACAGAAATCGACAGTGACAGTTGTTCACTACTTATTGTTCAACATATTCTAACTATCCGATCCCTGGTTGACTTGGTCTTCGGCTGCCTGTCATGCAAACTGGTGATGGGTCGATCGCACAAGTCCTGTCTCTGACACTCTGACATTTGATCTACTACATCTACTCCATATAAACATTCAATCCCACAGATTATTTAGGCAGTTCAGTCAGACTCAAGATTTGGCCCGAAACTTTTTTCAGCGATGACTGCTAATGCGTTGGTACTGTTTCTATTTTATTAAATCCAAAAGTTAACACCTGTTGCTAAATCATTTCGACATGCTAATGCCCAAGATCAGTCGTAGTGCACAAAAGTTAAAGCGCGCATATCTGACAGCACAGACACGTGAATCGCTAGCTCTCCTACGATTACACCGTAACATCACATGCTGTCATTATCGTCCTGAGGTCAGCAGCAAACTATATAGTTCATTGCCGAAATTAAAAAGGTTTAGTCTCATGATAATCCTCCAAAGGGGTTTAATACATATTCTGACTAGTTGAAATTATAGCTAATTGAAAATTTCTTTTTAATACCGAGGTTTCTGCTTAATATTTATAAATAAACTATTTGAAAAGATAGAACTGACAATTAAAATCCGTTCGTGCCGATTTTATTTATTTGCTATTTTAATCATAATGATATTTATTTTAATAATGTGTACAATTATTCATCATTTAGAAAAATAAATTAGAAAGATTGCTTT